ACTGAAGTATTGTGTTTGTTAAAAGTTAATACCACCAATTTTAATAATTCTTCATTTTGAATAAGTTTTGTGAATTGAAGACAATTAAAGTAAAAATATAGGTAAACATATTATCATCATGTACGCTGTTTCAAAATTCAAAACACTTATTATACAATTAATTACATATTATATTACATATAAATGTGTGTGTATTTATTTACTCACTTTTTCACTCTTAAAACTCATATAACATTTATAATAAATATTTTTAATCATTACTAGCTAGCTTATTATTATTCTAGTATAATACTATCGTATGTATTAATCCATTAATCATGATTAAACCGTATACAATTATGTATGTCTATATGTATACGCATTTGTTATATACTACATACTAGTATAATTTAATTTATTATGTGTGTACATTATATATATATATGGATATATATGTTTAAGTATATATTTATAACGGGGACGGGGCGGGGACGGGGCGGGTGTAGCAATACCCATCCCCCGCCCCATATTTTAACGGCGTAAAAATATCTCACACATCCCCGCCCCCACCCCGCCCCAAGCCCCGCCCCAACCTTCCCCCGCGGGGCGGTTCCCCACGGGTCCCCGTCCCCATTGCCATCCTTATGACCACGTGTCAATTTTGTACTTGTCCACATAAGCGGGGTACCATACCTCAAAAATTGTAAAGGTACGGTAGAAAATACCCAAATTTTAATATCATATTACTAATCATAATTTTCAAATAAAAAAATCACTAAGAAAAAAAATCATTTCCACAAAGATTGTTTTTATAACTTTTGAATAACATAGCTATTGGGATTCAAGTATGAAGAGCTCAAGGGAATAAAACTATTTCTTGCGAGGTAGAAGCGATTATGGTGAGTTTTATACATTAGAAAGTAGAGCTTTAATTTTGTCAATTTAAAATTTTGATAAACTAAATAAAATTTATGTGTATGCATTAAATGATTTTATATCCTTTAAATTTTCATTAAAGCTACATGAATTCCTATATATTACAGGTATTTGAACTTTAAAGTTTAAAAAAAATTGGAGGACCAATATAAAGGCATTTGTTTTAAGGTCCCCCACAGGTTTTAAGGCAGTGGAAATCATGCAATAGATCAACATGCTGCACAATTCAGTTGATGATTTATTTAGGCATACCATGCAACTTTTAAAATTATGACCAATGCAATCTTTGTTTAGAGTGGCAATAGTGTATGGTCAAGAAGATGTAAGAAGTGAGGATGCTTACTCAAACGATCAACCACAACTAACATTGTGTTTTTCCCTGAGATTTTGGAAAACCATCAATGACATCCATTGAAATGTTAATCCAAATAGCTTCGAGAATTGGTTAGGGTTGCAATAATCATGCAGGATCTTGAAGAAGTGGTTTATTTTTCTGTCATACTCACAGTTTTTATCATATATTTAATATCCTTCTTTATATTTTTTTTCCAATGGACTAGAACTCCTGCCCTTTTATAAGTGACCTGGGCCCCTTGTTAAGACTCAGGGGTTCCATCCTAAAAGGTCAACCTGATAGGAGGAGTACCTCAGATCTTAATATAGTGTTTAATTCTTTCAGAGATATCTGGTGTGAGACTTTAACACCCCTCCTCACGACTAGACACTTCGTCTGGATCGTGCCGTCATTCATTTTTTTCATCGGTTCGTCATTTTTTATAATCGTGTCGTCATTTTTTCATAAGGGGGCCCACACCATGTATCAATTTGGTACTGATACCATGTTAAGACACAAGTTCCATCCTAAAAGGTCAACCTGATAGGAGGAGTAGCCCAAAGCCTTATGTAGTGTTTAATTGTTTTATAGTTTTCCGGTGTGGGACAAATACTTCAACATGCCCCTCAGTCCGAACTGGTCTGGACAATATCGGGGTGTATAAACGGGCCAAACAGACCTTTAACAAGCTACCCGTAATCATGGATGCTAAACAAGCAGTATGCTAAGACACGAGTTCCATCCTAAAAGGTCAACCTGATAGGAGGAGTAGCTCAAAGCCTTATATAGTGTTTAATTGTTTTATAGTTTTCCGGTGTGGGACAAATACTTCAACACGCCTCCTCAGTCCGAACCGGACTGGACAATATCGGGGTGTATAAGCGGGCCAAACAGACCCTTAACAAGCTACTCGTAATCATGGATGCTAAACAAGCAGTCAAACCACAATCGGAATTGGCTCTGATACCATGTTAAGACACGAGTTCCATCCTAAAAGGTCAATCTCATAGGAGGAGTAGCCCAAAGCCTTATATAGTGTTTAAATGTTTTATAGTTTAATGGAATGCCATCCATCCCATTGGAGAGTTATATTTTTCCTAATATCAGCATTCTGACCTACCAAAAGCTTCCCTTTTTTGAGCAATTCCTCATCTTGCCAAGGGAATTTGGTGTTGGTCAATGAATTAAACCATCTTTCAATAGATGGATTATTAGTTTGCTTTCATCATCCTTCCAGCTGTCTTGGATCTCTTGGAGTAAGTCAGGTCATGCTTCAGTTAGGACCATGCTCATTATATCAGCCATTTTAATTCTTTATAAAGCATCAATTGCCACATTTTCCTTCCCCTTCTAGAGATCACTTCATAATCCATGCCATGCAATTTAGGTAGGCATTTGCACTGAAATGGTATAGTAAATTTTCCTTGCAACAAATATTTAAAGGCTGAAGTGAGATAGTGTTCCCCAGCTAGATGTCATCTCCATTTCTCGACTAGCATGACTACTCAAACAACTCTTTCTCATAGCAGATAATGCTTTACTTTCTCAGATAATTAGCTACTTATTTTATTAATTATTGGCTTTTAATAGGTTTCCTAGTATGAGTTATGTTTCCTAGTTTAAGTTTATTTCCTAGTTTGAGTTTTAGGAGTCTTACATTAATTAGGAGAAGTAGTCTATTTATACCCCTAAGAGGGTTATTCAAACTATGCTTTATTATTAATAAATTGTGTGTTTAAGCTTTAAGCTTTGGTGTGTTTAATAAATTTGATTGTTATTTTCCGTTCTTATACACCATAAGAGCATTTGCTTCTCTCGGCAAATGTACATTCTTCCTCAGTAAATTTAATGTTTGTTGCAGATACACTTCATGTGTTTTTCGTATCAAGGCTGTATACTAAGATATCATAGGGTTCGGAATGTAGAAGGTGCATTTGTGAGACCAAATGACATTACCACAAACTCATAGTGCCACTAATGAGCTCCATATGTAGTTTCCCCAATGTCTTTTTCACGCAGTCTAATCTTGCAATAGCCAGACCTCAAGTCAATTTAAGAGAAGTAAATGAAGCCATGTAGTTCGTCTAATAACTCGTCAATCATAGGTATAGGGAATTTATCTTGTATGTTGTGTTTTTTTAGCTCTCTGTTATCATCACCACAAAAAACCCAACAGCCATTTTTCTTTTTTATCGTCACCAGACTCACCACTGGAGAAGAATAAAGACTTGACTATTCTTCATGATATTATTGTCCAGCATTTCTTTAGTAATCTCCTCAATGGTTTTGTTTTGAAAATAGGGTATATAAATTCTTAGGGGTGTCACATTGTTAGGAGCGGTCTTTGTTTTGAGGTGTATTTGATGATCATACCGGTTATGTGAGGAGGCAGTTGCTTAGATTCCTAAAAAGTATCAGAAAACCCAGCTAAAACTACAGAAATATCGAAGCAGATCCTTTTAAGGTAGGATGTATTTAAATGAAAATTGCGGATTCTTTTGAAATGATCGGCGAAATTAGCAATTTCCTATTATGTGAGGCCTCAATATAGCATTTAGAGCAAAGCCTCTTGAATATTTTAAGACGGCTGTGAGATTTTTTCTTTTCCCTAGCATTTCCATGAAAACACATGCCTACTAGCTTGGAGAAACACCAGTTGAAAGCTATGTTTTCAATTTTGACCAACGTCTAGTGAAACACCAATTGATATTTTACCTGGAACCATATGACATCAAGGAATCCCCCTATTTTCGTGAAAGGAAAACTAATAGGATGGTATCAGGTGGCAGTGTTATACTTTCAGCCCCAATTTATCTGGAGTAATAAGTTTTCCATAAAACACATGTTTGATCAGTGTGCGCCTTTTTAAGTTTAGAAAGGTACAATTGCTATATATCATGAATCATGCTTATCCTTTTTAAGTGTCATACTATTTTCTTTACCAAATGACATGAAAATTTACTTTCATTAGACCAAACAAGGATCTTTTTTGGTGATTTCTTAGTGTGCGGAAGTCAATTTCCAATAGGAGCTTTTGTTACGCTGATGTGCTGCAAAGAATATGGAAAGTTTTCATTGAGATTTTATGTCAAATTGTCAACCTCATAGCAGTACTTAACTAGTAATTAACAAAAGTGCATATTTTTTTGAGAATATGTGGACTGTAATTTTATTATCTTCATTGGAATTTAAAATGTTGAATGCTATTTCAAAAGTGGTCATAGTGAATATTATCAGATACTTTTTGCTGCAATTATCTTCGCTGGAGGATTACTACTATGGCCCTTATTTCCTTTCCTCTCTTATATTAGGATAAAAGTGATGTAAACTTTCTGGAGGGATGACTAGCTAAGCGGTAGGTTATGCATCTTGCGTAAATTGCTCCTATACTAGCAGCATTTGCAATTCCTTCCTGGTATTGGAACATACTATTACTTTACTATGCAATGAACTTTTACTTTCCCATTTGTTACTGGCTTCTAAAAACAACTTTTGGTCGTTTTGGAGCATTGGTATCAAGGTTTCTATTGTTTATTTATTTTTCTGTTTGTTTGCTTCCTCACTTTTCTTAGTTTTATTTTTACTTACCTCTGTTATCTTTAATTTGTCCCTGTGAGATTTTCATGGAGATTAAGAGTGAAATATATAGTAGGGGTAAGGGGTATAGTGGAAGAAGTTGAATAATGAAGATGAAAAATATGAAAGAGAAGATGAAAAAGTATAAAAAATGCAAAAGAAAGGATAAGAAAATGAGGCAAACGTTGTCAAGAATATCACTGGAACAAATATTAAAAGACTTCTAAAAAATAAATCTATAATAGATAATTAAAAAACAGAGAGACTCTATGTTAATTTGCACTTCTTAAGCTTCAGCTTTCCCAAACTATCATGTTAGCAATTGTTATGTTAAAACTTGCAACATACGAGATGTTTTCCTATTATAACTTATCCTTGCACCGAGCTATAAATAAATATGAGGCTGATATCCCATGCATTTTCAGGAGTATACAAGTCACTGAAGAGTTTATTGTCCGTGAAGAGAAGAATTGTTAATGGTTCCACAGATATTTGTTTCTGTCCTTTCTGTTATTTTCCAATTTTGCAGACTCCGAACATGATTCCTACTGTTTCTGAAAACCTGTTAGTGTGGCCATAGTTAAAGTTCTGAGCGGTTCATGAAGCCAACCATGAGCTTTTGCTGACAGTTCTTGTGCTATGAAGCGCATGGTGGGCCGCGTCTCGGGTGTGCGACGTGTGCATGCCAATGCTAAGATGATCACAGCCACAACTTCTTCTGTAAGATGGCCAGTGGGGGGTGAGAGCCTTTGGTCAAGCAAGTCCTTCAAAAGTGTGTCTCTGGACACCTCGGTAGCCTCAGATAGTGAAGACAGCAGTTCCCCGGGATGCCTCCCCATCATAACTTCCAATGCCACCACTCCGAAGCTATAAACGTCACATTTCTCTGTGACCCTCATTGTGTATGCCAACTCTACACATCATCAAAAAATGTTCGTGTTATGGAACAACTAGAAAAATTTCCACTTCTGTCACTTGACTAATTAGGTCATTCCCACTTTTGGTCTCTAACCATCATTTTTTCCACTTTTGGTGTACTCATGACAATGAAATTCTTGTTTGTGTTGGTCCCTTACAGTCACTTACCCGATGAAAATCAATCATAAATTATAGAAACGATAAGAAATACATAGTCATATACCAAAATGGAAAACATGAAAGTCTGGGATCAAAACAATAAGAAATCAACCATGAAACTTTTGATGCCTATTGTCACTTCCCACTCTTGCTCACTGCCTTTTGTTTTTTAACACTTTTGGTGCTTGACTATGGATTTTTGTACTGGTCACTTTGATTTTATTTGTCACTTATCATGCAGCGTTGTGAACGACCTAATAGCCACTGGAGCAGAAGTGGAAAATTTTCTAAAGTGACCCAATCAATCAGCAAACATGCTGATTTAGGTGGTTACCATTGAATGAATTAAATGGTTCTAAAATAGTACCTGGAGCCATGTAGCCATAAGAGCCTGCAACCGAAGTCCAGTTGGACGATTCACCACTCAACAGTTTTGCCGTGCCAAAATCTGAGAGCCTCGGCTCAAAACTTGACTCCAGCAGTATGTTATTTGCTGATACATCACGATGCACAATGGGAGGAGAACAGTCATGGTGCAGGTAAGAAAGCGCGTGAGCTATCCCTTGAACAATTCTTGCTCTAACTCCCCACGTTAGTTTCTGTGCCATTCTATCATCCCTCAAGACTTTTCCCAAGCTTCCCATCTCTATGTACTCGTAAACCAGGTACATGCAACCGTTCTTGGAACAGAATCCAAACAGTTTAATGATGTTTCTGTGCCTTACCTCTGTCAACGTTCTGATCTCGTTCTCAAAACTGTGACGGTTTGTTGATGGAGTGTCGTTGCTGTCTGTCACATTGAGTTTTTTGACAGCAACTACTCGGCCTTTGGAGAGGTCTGCTTTGTAGACTGTCCCAAACCCCCCTCTTCCAATGCAGTGCTTATCACTGAAATTATCTGTGGCTTCCGCGATATCCCCAAATGTGAACTTCCCTTCTCTTTCCCATATCAGATATGCAGAAGCATCCTTACACTTTTTCTGCCTGACTCTCATTTCTTCTTCACGCTTCTCCTTCTTTCTTCTCTTCAGAAGAAAAAGATATCCAGCGGCAATTGATAAAAGCACAAGGCCTAATATGGGAACAAGGACAGCAATGAGAACTTTTCTTTTGTTGTTTTTAAATGGCCTTCTAGATTCTTGGTTACATGGGCTAAAGAACTGTTCTACATTTCCACATAGACCGGGATTCCCAACGAAGGCTTCAGCTTTCAGACCCCGGAATATTCCGTCACTAGGAATTGGACCGAATAGTGCGTTGTATGAGAAATCCATCATTTGCAAACTGACCATATTGGATAAAGCAGAAGGGATTCTACCAGAGAGGTTGTTGTGTGATAGGTTTAGCTTCTCAAGTGAAATGAGCTTCCCCAGGTTTGATGGGATTGAATCAGAAAACGAATTGTTACTAAGGTCCAAGAGGATACTCAATCGTTGTATGTTTCCAAGCTGTGGAGGTATATCCCCTGATAAATTGTTGTTCTTGAGATCCAAACTCAATAAGCTCTCACAATTCCCAATCCCTTCTGCAACTTCTCCCTCCAGATTGTTATTCGAGAAATCGAGCTTCTGGAGGTTTGTTAAGTTTCCCACATTCTTTGGAATTCGACCAGTTAGGTGATTCTTGCTGAGATTAAGAGTAAGTAACTGCTGTAGATTGCCAAGTTCCGGTGGAATCTCACCTGTCAGTTCATTTGCATCCAAGGTAAGAACGCCGAGCTGAGTAAGCTGCCCCAATTCGGGAGGAATGTGACCAGAAATCCTATTCCCCGACATTCCCAAATTAGTGAGCTTCTTGTACTCTCTCCATTGAGAAGGCATTTGCCCACTGAATTTGTTACCATCCAGTGAAAGGAAATCAAGAACCGGATGCACTCCAAATGCTTTCGAAATGTCGCCTGAGAATTCGTTTCCTTCTAGCCTAATCCTAGCCAGTGCCGAGCAGTTCTTCAAGCAAGTGGGCAATTCCCCACTGAAGCTGTTCCAGTTCACTGTCAGTTCTTGTAGAGCAAAACCACTACATAGACCAGGTGGAAGCTCTCCAGTAAAGCTGTTATTTGCAAAGCTAACATTGGACAATAGAGGACTGTTCAAACCCAAGTCCCTGGGAACACTGCCTGTAAAACCATTAGTGAACAGTGAAAGGACCACCAAATTACTGAGACTGGAGATGCCCTCTGGCAACTCTCCACTCAGTTGATTGTCACTCAAATCAAGAGTAGTGATTGATGTTAAACTCCCAATCTCGGATGGAAGTGTTCCATTGAATTTGTTGGAGGCGATGCTTAGCAAAGTGAGGTTTCTTAGGTTTCCTATTGTCTTAGGTATTGGACCAGAAAGGTTATTTTGTGACAGGTCTAAAGTAACCAAACCCTGCAAATTTCCTATCTGGGGTGGAATTGTGCCTGAAAACTGATTTTCGTACAACAAAAGGTATTGAAGCTTTTTTAACAAACCTATTTCAGATGGAATGCTCCCATTGAAGGAATTGTTCTGAAGCTGCAAAGAGGTTAGGGCTGTCCAGTTGGCTATAAAATGCGGGGAAATTTCGCCAGAAAGATGATTATCTGAAATCCCCAACTGAGTCAACTTTGTCAAAGAAGACAAGGATGATGGCAAGAAACCAGAGAGGGAATTTGCAGCCAGAGCCAAGTAAGTGAGGTTAGTGCAAAGACCAAGCTCAGAAGGAATGTTTGATTCCAGCCTGTTTATCCTAATATCCAAGTATTCTAGACCTTTGAGTTGGCCTATAGAAGATGGTATCTTTCCCTGAAATGAATTGCGGTACAAACTTAGATTCTTCATCATGGAAAGTTTACTAATATTTGGTGACAAAACCCCTGAAAATTTGTTGTTGGAAAGATCAAGATGCTCAATCCTCTTCAAATCCGTAAACAACCTCTCCGGGATGGTTCCATTCAGATGGTTAATAGACAGATCAAGAAAGCTCAGATTTCTGCAACCCAATATAAACCCAGGGAACCCTGACCTTAATTCATTGAGATAGAAACTAAGATGCCCAAGAACAGGAAAGCTCTTAACTTTAGACCAATCAGCAGCCTCCAAGAAATTTGCTCCCAAGTCCAAGAACCATACCTTCTGGAGATTGCCAATCTGATAAGGAACAACACCTGCAATGTTGTTGTTGAAAAGGGTGAGGTATTTAAGCTCCCTCAAGTTCCCAATCTGTGGCGGTATGGTCCCACTCAACATGTTGTTGCTCAAGTCCAGGGAAACCAAGCTTGACGATGAATCTCCAATGGAGGAAGGGATTGACCCGGTGAAGTTGTTCCAGCTGATGTTGAAACGTGTGAGGGTTGCAAAAAGAGTGAAATTGAGGTGATCAAGATTTCCGGAGAGACCTGCATGGGGAAGGTTGATCTCAAAAACAGTTCCTTCACCATTGCAGGCTATACCCGACCATTTGCAGAGGTTTCTTAGGTTTGTAAGCGACCAGGAATTGATTACAGAAGAAGAAGAGAAGGAGAGGGTGTTCTTCCATTTGACCAGAGCTTCAGCTTCTGTTCTTGCTGATGCTTTTGTCTCCAGTGAAAAAGAACCGAGTAGCAGGAGGATGAAGAAGAAGAAGAGTTTTACATAGTACCCACCAGTTTGTTTCATTGTAGTTTTTGAGTTACTCTCTGTGGATCGATATGACGATATTACAACATATTTTGACAAGTAAAGGAAAGAAAGAACTCAGAGATCGAGATTCCAATACAAATGGAATAAATAAGTTCATCAAAGTGACCACTTTTGCCTTTTGGGTATAGAAAGAACATGAGAACATGTCACATGAATGACTTTCCGCAAATGATTATCATTCACACTAATTGAAAGGGTCAATACCCACTAGCTTTTGCATGAATTTATCCAAAGATATGGGTGTACTTCGTTATGCGTTGAAAAGTACATATCCTCTTCTCGAAGTTAGGTGTTCATTACCAACTTGCACTTAATTATGATTCCGTAAGGAGTGCTGTAAGAGTCTAAATGTCAAAAATGGACTCCGTTCATATAAAACAATGTTTTGACTCTTAATTCTATGCATTCCAACACCGTCAATAAAATACACTCAGCATATAGTTTTACATATCAGTTTAGTAAAACATTAATTAAATTATTATAAGTAACATTTTCCTTTTAAATTTCTCTCTCAATAATTATGAAATAAAGATACATATTTGGATGTAAAAATAAATAAATTTCATTAACTTTTTTTAACGTTTTTCGGTTAATGAAAAATGAACTTACTTCAAGTAAAGTTGAATTATGGAATATTCAGTTATTTGTGAAAGTTTCATGAATCAAAAATTTGTGTTTCATATTTTTTTTTTGCTTAAAACCCCCAACATTAACATTTTAGAATTTTTTAAAGCATTTATATAAGCAATTTTGGTGTCCACTGAAAGACATAAAATTTTATAAATATTGATATATTTTTATGCAATTTGAAACATAAAAAAGTTACATGACTTGAAATAAAAGAGTTTTTTGTATGAGATAGATAGATGTTAATTCTCTCTTGTTCAACAGCCGTTGCGCACCATCTCTCCACTTTTTTCTTTTGTTTTTGGCTGTCAATGTTCTATATTTGAGACTCTCCTCTCCCTTTTCCATTTTTAATACTCTCAATTACTCACCAATATAAGAAATTAGGAGTCCAAAAATTCCATCTTTAACATTTTGAACTTCTAATACCCAACCACTACAAATGGTCTTAGGGGAGCTAATCTGATGGTGCCCACCGTGTCTTTCTGAAGGGGTCATCCAAAATGAGCACAAGAATTCATACCAAGACTTTTCGAACGTGTAAATGTAATTTAGTTATCTATATCTTTGGTACATGATTCCTGAATATGTATGATAATAAAATTTATTAATCAAGATATAGTATTTTTCAAATATACTACTTAAATAAAGATTAGTTATGAAAATATGACTACAAGGTAAGTAGTACTAAAGTATAGTATCATGATCACTCAAGTGTAAAATTAAACATAAATTGTTATGGCTAAAGTTACTATTATAGTCATTACACTTTTTTTATATCATCATTCATCAAAACGGTTTTTCATTGATATAGAGTAAACATGCAAAACAAAATTCGGACGGGACTATTACACTTAAGAAGTTACATTTAAGAAGTTATATTTAATTAAAAACATTTTTTACTTTAGTCACAAATATGTAATTAAGTACGTAGTATTAGAAAGCGTAAGACAAAATTATTGGAATGGAGAAAATTAGAATACATATACGAAGTATAAAGATTAGGGAAGACTTTGGATTTGGGTTATCCCGGTCAAAACCCAATTGATAATAATGGTTCAGGGCGGTACGATACAACTTACAAGGTTTTGTCATAATCTTGTCGCATTCAAATCAAGATCGGGACGACTTTTTTTAAATTCGTTTAAATTTGCTAAATATGTTTAATTAGTAAAATTTTGATTGACACGACTGAATTGAATGCACGTGTTGAATTAAAAAAGGTGTATGTAAAATACTAGTATATTTTAATAATGATGGAAAGATTATATAAGAAAAGTTAAAATAATCCACTTATATAAGAAATAACTCAATAAGATCCGGACTTTTTATTATTATCATAGCACCCAACATGTAAAATTAAAAGTCACGAGTCTCGTGTTGAAAATTGATTGAATGTTTCATTAACTTTGTCATTTTCTTTTTTAAGTAAAATTTTTTTTGATCTAATTAATTTTCTTCTCTCATTAATCTATCTAAATCTCAATCACATAATTTTTAATTTATTATCCTCGCAGTTAAACTTTGCAGTTCCGAGTCTCGAGTTGGAACTTGGAAGTCCGAACAAAGCTGTTGAGTGTTGACTAATCTCCAAGCGTGTTGACATATACGGCCGAAGTATATATAAAAGGTTTGTCCTTTGACATGTGTGAAATCTGATTTGGTCACGAATGGTGTGCGGAACAGTGACGACACTTCCGTCAGTTCCGTGACCCTACTTTTTGTGAGTACTTTATGCATCCAATAATGAGTTCGACTTTGTCAAGTTTAAGTTAAATAGTTCCTACCATAAAAAAAAGCTAAATTAGACAATACAAAATGGTAATTGAAATTTGTGTAGAGGAAAGAAAAATGAAATGAGCTAAAAATTAGCTGCTTTAAAAGAAAAGGGATAAAGTATTTTGGGACAAATAAAAAAGAAAAGTTAGCAAAGTCTAGTACAAAGGAGTACTTCGTATAATACTCCGTACTTCGTATGTGCCAATAGCAAGCAATCAGACTAATATTGCAATATCAAACTGTTAGGAATTTAACTCACAAACACGAAGAACAATTAAAGAACACACGAAATTTGGTAACCCGGTTCGCCACAGAGGACTACGTCTGGGGGCGCTACCAAGCCATGAATGTTATTAATATTTTCTGGATGCAGATTACAAGAGAGGAGAGTGGTATTTATAGAGATGCAGTGTCTTGTTCCCAAAGCAACATAACCCCTAATTAAATTAGGATGTGTTTCCAAAAATAAATTAAGAAACGTGTTTCCAAGAATAAATTAAGAAACTGTCTCTAACACCTTACAATCTCCCGCCTTGAGACTGTCTTCTTCAAATCCTACCTTGTTAGCATGGTAGCGCCGGCCTTCAACTTCAACTCTTCAAGTACCAAGGCCAATTGAACCTATGCAAAGCTTCAACTTCTCCAAGATTACCACCTTAGTAAACATGTCTGCTGGATTCTCACTCCCACTGATCTTCAGAAGCTGCAATGCCTCTATCTCTAGAAGATGACGGATGTAGTGATACTTCAACCGAATGTGTTTGGTTCTCTTGTGAAAAGCTGAGTTGTTTGCCAAGAAGATAGCACTTTGACTGTCACTGTAAAGAATGATATTCTTGTACTCCTTCCCAAGTTCCCCAAGTAAATTCTGAAGCCACACCATCTCCTTACTTGCCTCCGTAATGGCCACATATTCTGCCTCTGTAGTAGATAATGCAACAATCTTCTGCAGCTGCGAAAGCCAAGATACTGCTGTCCCACCAAATGTAAAAACATACCCTGTGGTGCTTCTTGATCCATCCGAGTCATTTGATGTCAGATCTGCATCAACATGTCCTAGCTGCTCTACATTCTTTCCATCAAAACACAAAGCATTAGAAGCAGTACCTTTCAAATACCTCATGATCCACTTCACAGCTTCCCAGTGTTCTTTCCCGGGGTCTCCCATGTATCTGCTCACTACTCCCACCGCATGTGCAATGTCTGGCCTCGTGCAAACCATAGCGTAAATGATGCTGCCAATTGCCGATGCGTATGGAATCTTCTGCATTTGAACACGGTCCTCCTTGTTCTTTGGAGAATCTTCCTTGCTAAGCTTGAAGTGACTACCCAATGGAACACTTACAGCCTTACCATCTTGCATTCTGAATCTTTCAAAGCCCTTCTAAATGTATTCTGCCTGTGAAAGAAACAATTTGTCCGCTGCCTCATCCCTCTCGATTCGCATGCCCAAAATCTGCTTTGCCTCTCCAAGATCCTTCATGGAAAAACGTTCTGACAACTGTTTCTTTAGCTTCTCAATCTCCTTTGAACTAACTCCTGCAATCAACATTTCATCTACATATAATACCAAGATATGATAACGGTTCTCAGTCTTCTTGTAGTAGCAGTAGTTGTCGGTGTGACATCTCAAGAAACTGATTTCCCGCATGAAACCATCAAATTTCTTGTACCACTGCTTCGGTGCCTGCTTCAACCCGTATAAGCTCTTCACTAGCTTGCATACGAGATTCTCACTGCCCTCTGCCACATAGCCCTCTGGTTGCACCATGTAAATCTCGTCATTCAGATCACCATGAAGGAATGCAGTCTTCACATCCATCTGATGTAACAACAAATTTTCTGCAGCAACTAACCCCAACACCAACCGAATAGTAGTTAGTTTCACAACTGGATAGAATATGTCGGTATAATCAATACCATAGCACTGCTCAAACCCCTTCACAACCAGCCTAGCTTTGTAACGTTTGCTACCATCTGCCTCCTTCTTGATGCGGTAGACCCACTTGCAGTGCAAAACCTTCTTTCCTCTCGGTAGTTCAACTAACCTCCAACTCTCCAAGTATCATTGGATGTGAGAGATGCCATCTCATCATCCATTGCAAGTTTCCACTTGCCCTTGTCATCAACCCGAGCTGCCTCTGCATAGGACTCCGATTCACCACCGTCAGTAAGCAACAAATAGAAATTAGAAGGTGAATACCTATTTGGTGCTCTTCAGACTTTCTTGCTCAGAATCAGATGCACTCAATCTGTCCTTGTACAGAACCTGCTCGTTGAACACCACATCTCGACTACGAATAATCTTCCTATTCTGCTCATCCCAAAATCTGTATCCATAGTCATCACCACCATATCCAACGAACGTACACTTCACAGATTTTGCGTCTAACTTGCTTCGGTCAACGGAACTGATATGAACATAAGCAACACAACCAAATATGCGGAGATAGGACAGATTTACCTCTTTACCCGTCCACCTTTCTTCAGGAATGCCATTCTCCAACGAGATCGTTGGACTTCTGTTGATGAGAAAAGCCGCGGTGTTCACTGCATCCGCCCAAAACATCTTCGGTAAGCCACTCTTCAACCCCATGCATCTAGCCCGCTCATGCAGTGTTATGTTCATGCGTTCAGCAACGCCATTATGCTGCGGAGTCCCCTTAGTTGTCTTCTCCATACGAACCCCATTCTCAGCACAAAAAATTCTTGAACTCATGCAGTTCATACTCACCCCCATTATCTGACCGAAGGCACTTCAACTTCAGACCTGACTCTGTCTCAACA